AACCCTGAGTAGGGTTTAGGGTTTAGGGTTTAGGGTTTAGGGTTTAGGGTTTAGGGTTTAGGGTTCAGGGTTTAGGGTTTAGGGTTTAGGGTTTAGGGTCTAGGGTTTAGGGGCTATAAGGCTAACCAACGCCGGCGCGCTCATCATGCGCAGGCGCTGCGCTTCGTGGAGCGACTCCTTCATGACCTTGATGTAGAGCGGCTCCTGCGAGGGTTTAGGGTTTAGGGTTTAGGGTTTAGGGCTTAGGGTTTAGGGTTTTGGGGTTTAGGGTTTTGGGGTTTTGGGGTTTTAGGGTTTCAGGGTTTTGGGATTGAGGATTTTAGGGTTTAAGGTTTAGGGATGTAGCATCTAGGGGGGGGGGGGGGGCGGGACTGTCCTAGGGCTGGAGGGGGGGCTATGCTAGAGGTTTGGGATCCAGTTTTTTTGGGGTTTTAGGGTTGTGGGGAAGGGGGGGGATTCGCATTGGTTAGGGCCGTTTAGGGCTTGGGGGAACAAAACATTAAAACCTTTCCGAATCGTCGTAGGAATAGGCCCATGAGCCTTCTAGTCTTTGCACCCTGCAACCGTTCTGACCCTGCCGGAGCTTCCTCGAAAGCCTACAACCCCACGACCCCCCAAGCCCGAAACCCGAAACCCTAAACCCTAAACCCCATCCCCTAAAAACCCTACAAATTCAAAACCCTGAACCCCTGCCCTCCCGCTCCCAGTCAAGAAGGAGCTGCCAGTTGCGCACGTCTCCGGCCAGGAGGCCCATACGCGACTCTAGGCCCTGAAGGCTTGGGTTTGGGGTTATGGGGTTTTGGGTTTGGGGTTTAGGGTTTTTGGGGTTTAGGGTTTTTGGGGTTCAGGGTTTGGGGTTCAAGGGTTTTGTGTTTTAGGGTCTTGGGGTTTTGGGTTTAAGGTGCTTGGGTTTTGGGTGTTTGGGATCACCGTTTTTGGGGGTTCAGGGAGCCTCGCGTTGAAGAGACTTGCAGAAGGTTTCTACGCGCACAGTCTGCCTATAGACCCTCAACTTAAACCCTAAACCCTAAACCCCAAATCCTATTAACCTTGTTCACTCCTAAACCCTAAACCCTAAACCCTAAACCCTACACCCTAAACCTTATTCCCAAAACCCTAAACCCGAAACCCTATAAACCTTGTGTGAACCCGCAAATTCTGAACTCGGGTGTGGGGGATGGTCCCACGGGCAGCCATGAGCGAGCCGCTTAATTACAGTAGGGAAACCAGCGAACCCCAAACCCCAGAACCCTAAATTTTGGGTTTAGGGTTTAGGATTTGGGGTTTAAAAAAACCAACAACACAAGGTTTATGTTCCCCCACTACCGCATTCCAATTTACAAGGCGGCCTTTTTTGCTGGCCTAAGCCTTTTTTAAGGGTGTAGGGCTGAGGGTTTAGGGGTTTGTACCGAAGCGAAAGGAAGAAGGGTGCACCCTTTTTGGGTTAAAGGGTGGTTAGAAGGGAACCTAAACTCTATAGGGCTTCTACCTCCGACCCTTAAGGTTGTACCCTAAACCCTAAACCCTAAACCCTAAACCCTAAACCCTAAACCCTAAACCCTAAACCCTAAACCCTAAACCCTAAACCCTAAACCCTAAACCCTAAACCCTAAACCCTAAACCCTAAACCTGTACCCTTGGGTTTTGGGGTCCCTTTGTGAAGGATCCCTGAGGTCCTAAGGGAATAGGAGCATATCAAAGGAAACCTTCAGGGGCACAACCTTAGGGGTAGGAGCCGTCATCCCGTGGAAAACTCTACATCCGAAACCCTAAACCCCAAACCCCAAACCCTAAACCCTAAACCCTAAAAAGGGGGAAGAAGGGCCTAGATGCTTCAGCCGACGGGCCCGGATGGTTCGATCGATTCTGTCGATGACGGCGTTGCGTGGAGGAAGTGGCGGAAACTTCCTCCGGGGGCTTCCGGGTGGACGATCGGCGCTTGAGGTGTAGGGTTTAGGGTTGAGGTTTACGGTTTAGGGTTTAGGGTTTAAGGTTTAGGGTTTAGGGTTTCGGGTTTCGGGTTTAGGGTATAGGGTTTAGGGTTTAGGATCATGGGTCTAGGGTTTAGGGTTTAGGGTTTCATGGGTCCCGCTCTGCACGCTCCTCTGCCACGCTTCTCCACAACCAGCGCCCGTGGACCCCAAAAACATGGGTTCACCCACTAACCCCCTAGGGTTTAGGGCTACTACCCCCCTCTTTACTACCCCCCTTAAATAGCCTTGATTACTTAAAAAGCCTGAATTATGGGGGGAACCTGGGAAGGGGGAGGGGGGGTAGTACAGAGGGGGGTAGTAGGGGAACCCATAGCAACCCGACTTCCACACCCTCGACTGCCCAACTACCCTGTTCTCCTCTTGGAACCTTACTAAAAAGACTGTTTTTTTTGTTTTCAAAAATTTTCCCTTGGGTTTTTCATATAAGTCAAAATAGGAAAAAACCAGGGGGCTGTAGTACCCAGTCCTAAGCAAGCTCAGGGCGCCTGGACTCTGCTGCGCCATGGTTTTGGGCTCAGGGCTGCGGGTTTTGAGGGGTTTAGGGTTTAGGGTTTAGGGTTTAGGGTTCAGGGTTCAGGGTTTAGGGCCTGGTGCCGGAATTTGCCGGGACAAGGGTCAAAAGAGCATCTGGAAACGCGAGATGCGCATACGGCCTTAGCTCCACGGGCCATACCTCTACGACCTCACTCCGAAACCCCTAAGCCCCAAAACCATGAAAGTCCGAAAGCCCTCAACCCTAACCCCAAAAACCCTGAACACTAAACCCTAAAATCCCGAAAAAACCCTAAAACCCCTAAACCCCCTGAACTTTGAACCCACTGGTTGGTAACCCTAAACCCTAAACTCTAAACCCTGGTCCTCCCCTTCTTGCCCTCCCTCGGGAAGTTGCCATCCAGCGGTTGGAAGGACTCGGGGCTTCAGGATTGTGGGGTTTAGGTTTTTTAGGGTTTTTAGTGTTTTTAGGGTGTTTAGGGTGCTTAGGGTTGAGGGTTTAGGGTTCAGGATTTAGGGTTTAGGCATCTTCCCTAAGCCCAAAATGTGCGCCTTACGCCTTCGCAGTTACAGGTTTGAGTTTGGGTGTAGGGCTGAGGAGTATTTTTCACCCAAAGCTTAAGACTCTCTTACACTACTACAGAATTAGAGTCGCATTGGGGATCCTTCTTTCTGGAGACCACTATAAGCCCCCCCCCCCCACCGCCCCCCACCCCCCGTAAGGCCCCAACTCCCTCATTCCGTAGATATAGGTGGCAACATAGAGAAGGCGCGTGGGGGGGGGGGGAGGGATCGCGTGATGTCGAAGGACAGACACCCTAAACCCTAAACGCTTCACCCGAAACCCTATACCCCAAGAATTCCTTGCCTAGGAAGGCGCAAGACTGAGAAAATGCTTACAGGTTTAGGGTTTAGGGTTTAGGGTTTAGGGTTTAGGGTTTAGGGTTTAGGGTATTTGGGTTCAGGGTCTACGTAGAAACAGTAGGCGTAGGTTGCACGTGAGGCTCTGAGCTGGAGAACGAAGGCTTAGGGTACGTGTATGCCCCCCACTTCTAACCAACCCTAAACCCTAAACCCTAAACCCTAAACCCTAAACCTAAACCCTAAACCTTAAACCCTAAAACCTAAACCCTAAACCCTAAACCCTAAACCCTAAACCGAAGCTTCCTTGAGCCTTGAAGCCCACAGAAGCCCACGGGCCTCATCCGTCTCCTGTGCCCAGAAGCCTCTGCTCGTGGCTTGCTTCGCCAGCATGCCTTGGCTAGGTCTCTCAATAGCCATAATATTGAGGGTTTAGGGTTTAGGGTTGTAACTATCGTATAGTAGGACCACAGAAACCCCACAACAAGCAAGAACAAGCACAAGAAGGGTTTAGGGTTTAGGGTTTAGGGTTTAGGGTTTAGGGTTTAGGGTTTAGGGTTTAGGGTTTAGGGTTTAGGGTTTAGGGTTTAGGGTACCTGCTTATACCTCCCAACTCCCTGCCAAGGGGCGCAGCAGCTTATCAGACTTGGCATCCCGCAGGCCCTCGGTGTTTAGGGTTTAGGGTTTAGGGTTTAGGGTTTAGGGTTTAAGGCTTCGGGGTTTATAGGGTTTCGGGTTTAGGGTTTAAGGCTTCGGGGTTAGCAACGAGAAGTGGGGGGGGGGGGGGGGGGGGTGGGGGGGGGGGGGGGAGTTTCTTCCAGCTGCCTAAAACCTTAAACCTTGGGATGTTCCCCCTTATACTAACAGTCCTTAATAAGAACTATCATAGGGGGTACTATAATCCCGATTAAGGACTGCTAGCATAAAGGGTAACATGCCAACTTAAACCCTCTAAACCCCCTGAACCCTAAATCCCAATGCAAGACGCTCTGAACCCTGTAAACCCTCTAAACCCTCTGAGCCCTCTAAACCCTCGAAGCCCTCCTGAACCCTCTTAATCCTGTAAACCCTCTACACCACCTAGACCCTCGAAACCCTCTAAGCCTCTAGACTCTCTCAGCCTTAGAGCCAAAACCCCTAAGCCCTGCAACCAATTCAAGCCAAAACCCTAAACCCTAAACCCTAAACCCTAAACCCTAAACCCTAAACCCTAAACCCTAAACCCTAAACCCTAAACCCTGAATCCCATGAAGCCCAAGCAAGTTGTTGGACAAGCTACTTTTCATTGCTGGGCTTGCATCTAGCACCAGCTTCGAGCTCACTGCAAAACCAAGTTGGGGTTTAGGGTTTAGGGTTTAGGGTTAGGGTTTAGGGTTTAGGGTTTAGGGTTTAGGGTTTAGGGTTTAGGGTTTAGGGTTTAGGGTTTAGGGTTTAGGGTTTAGGGTTTAGGGTTCTTGTGGCAGCTCATAAAGGTTGACGGTACGTTGTAATTCTTCATCGGGTTTATAAAGCAACTCCAAGTCCCGGCTGCAGTCGTTGAGAGGACTGTGTCTATTTTGTGAAGGTTCTGCTATATGGCAACTGTCTACGGATTCTCAGGGCAAAAGCGTCGCAAGCGCTAAGGCTTTGATTTTGATTCGGTCACGCTAGAATTTAGAACTTTCTCATCGCTGTTTCGACGCTCTCAGTGAAGCTTGGCTGCTGTCGATCAAGAATGTCCAGGTCTGATGTAGCATCACGCCCGCCAAGAACGGAAGGCGTGATGTATGCTTTTGCCCGGGGAGACCAAACCTCGACCGGAAACACCTTCGAAGTACTTGTGGGAAGAGCCTTAACCAACAACCGTTCCGGAAACATCCAACCCTACATCCTGATTTGGGGAGCTGGCCCGGCCTCATTTCTGGCTCTTTCTTCGTACCCTAAACCCTAAACCCTAAACAATAAACCCTAAACCCAAAACTGCAAGGAAATTCCTAGAAGATAGATCAACCACCCATCATATGAGTCAGGAGCATCGAAGAGAGAGGCGGCCAAATGTGTCAAGAGGCCTTGTCCGAGCCTTCACCGCCCGTGCTTTCGATGAAACGCTCCACCTGTCCAAACTTGGTAGCCCAGCAACCATCTTATAACAAGGGTACCTAAGGGAACCTTGAAACCCAAAAAGGGCAAAAGGGCATCACTGTACACCACCAAGCAAATGACGGTAGATTTTGGGTCTGGGATTTCGGGTTAGAGGTATACAAGTCGCTCACAAAACGTGGGGATTATCCTAAGCTCCCTAGTTAAGGCCTTATCTGGGGACCTTGTGTTTGGGTTTGCCTCGCCACAGCTGGCCTTGCGTAAGAATGCTGGCGCAGCACGAATAAGGATCGCACATTGCAACATCAACGACATGTGAATAGGTTCTTTGGGGTTGATGAAGCAGTTGCAGCAGCGTCCGGAGTGCACCTCAACGCCAGAATCGATCAAGCTTAGCCTTGCTGGTTTGTACTAGGGAACGAGGGAATTCGGTACCGGGTATAGTCCCTTAAGGGGTGCAATGTGGGGAAATGTTCTTCAACCCCATAGAAGGGGGATATAGGGTACCTACTTCCCGGCTACTTCCCTCACTCCCTTATAAGCGCCAAGTAGCAGCCCGTAGACAAGCCCAAGCCCGCCAAAGGCCGTTTAGCAATCTGAATCGAGCATTAGACCTTATAAACCCGAAACCCTAAACGCTACAGCCGGCCCTATCCCTAAAACCACAAAACCCCAAAATCCTAAAACCCTAAAACCCCAAACCCTATAAACCCCTGTAAACACCTGAACCCCAATGCGCCCTAAACCCTAAACCCTAAACCCTAAACCCTAAGCCCTAAACCCTAAACCCTAAACCCTAAACCCTAAACCTCCGCCTCCTGCGGCAAGGCGTTGGCCCTGCGCAGCTGCCGCAGGATCGACTCCTGCACCTTCCGGGCGTTCCTGGTGGCGTTTCAAGGTTGAGGGAAAAGGGTTTAGGGTTTAGGGTTTAGGGGCGTTTAGGGTTTACAGGGTTTTTAGGGGCTTTAGGGTTTTTTTTTTTCGGGGCTTTAGGGCTTGGGGGTTTTGGGGTTTTTTGGGTTTAGGGCTTGGTGTTTTTAGGGGTTTCAGGGTTTTTTCCACCCCCTCGGTGTGGGGTTGTTAGATTTTAAACTCAACTCTTCTCCTCGCCCGGAACTCTTCTCCTCGCCCGGTCTACGCCTCGTTCATCCCTGGAGTGCCCAACTCCAAAATGTGCCTGGGGTGCCAAACTCTAGAATTTTTTTTGGAGTGCCCAACCCCTGGAGTGCCCAAAGAGTCTCCCTGGAGTGCAAGAGAGGGTGGGGATATTCGAAGTAAAACAATTTAGGGGTTTAGGGGTTTTAGGGGTTGTAGGGTTTTAGGACTTTTATGATTACGGTTTAGGTTTTGGGGTGTTGGGGCTTTAGGGTTCTAGGGTTTTGGGGGTTCAGGTTTTAGGGTTTCCTGCAGAGTACTTCTGGAATATAGCATGTGAGTTACCTCCGCCGTGCCTTCAAGCCCCTGAGCCGTACGTTTAGGGCCGAGCTACACATGTTTCGCCCGAAACCCCAAACACTAAACCCCAAACCCTTACTAAACCCTGAACCCCGAAAACCCTAAACCCTAAACCCTAAACCCTAAACCCTAAACCCTAAACCCTAAACCCTAAACCCTAAACCCTAAACCCTAAACCCTAACCCGAGACCTGTAAGGATTTTCTCAGTTTTGCGCCTTCCTAGGCAAGGAATTTCTTGGGGTATAGGGTTTCGGGTGAAGCGTTTAGGGTTTAGGGTGTCTGTCCTTCGACATCAGGCGATCCCTCCCCCCCCAATCCTTTCGGAAGCCCTGACCTGGGATCGACCATGCTGTCCAGGTATGGCTGCAGGGTGTCCGGCTCGGGCCAGAGCCGGAAGTAGCCTCGGCGCTTGCATGGGTTAACGGCTGTCCCTAAACCCTAAACCCTAAACCCTAAACCCTAAACCCTAAACCCTAAACCCTAAACCCTAAACCCTAAACCCTAAACCTGCCATCAAACGTGAGTGAAATCAGCGGCTTCCGTAGGAAGCCCTCGGCTGAGCCCTGTGCGGACAGGCCCCCAGGCATAGTGCGTGATGATCCAGAGCCTGCACGGTCAACATTCGCATGCTGGAGACCCTGTAGTCCCTAAACCCTAAACCCTAAACCCTAAACCCCAAACCCTAAACCCTAAACCCTAAACCTCATCTGTCTCATCCTCGGCAAAAACCGTCAACATCAACACCCTGACCTCTGACTCACACAACCCGAACTTTGAACTCGGGCCCCCCCAAACTCCGTCGCACGGTACCATCGTGCACCCCAAGCCCCAGGGTTGAGGGTTTAGGGTAGGGTGTAGGGTTTAGGGTATATTGTATAGGGTTTAGGGTTTAGGGTTTAGGGTTTAAAGTTTAAGGTTTAGGGTTTAGGTTTAGGGCTTGAAACCTTAAACCGCGCCGAGAAGCTTCTTTCTGTGCTCCGCTTCGTTGACCTCAGCTCTTCACAACTTCGTTTCCACGAGCTCGACATGCTCGCGGGTCTTAGCAGGGAATTTCGGACTTAAAGGGTACACATACAACATTCGTTCTTCGTCGAGAACTTAGATAACGGAATTGGGTACCCTCTATCCCCACCAAGGCACGCATTATGTAATCGTAACTCGCAAAATATGTACGAACGTGATTGCGAACTACTTGAGAAAATGACCCTGGACCGTGTAGAACCCTTAGGGCAAGGAATTCTATCGGATCCCAAATCCCAAATTCCCTAGTAAGAACCCGTAGGTTGCAGGTGTGTCACGACATCCATCTTGTCGTACTTCAGCTGAAGCATCTCATAGCCTCTGGACAAGATGTGTGGCAGCTGCCATTTAGTTGGGCACACTTGTGCGTCCGCACAGAAGAAGAGGTTTCGAGACTAGAGGGCTCGGAGGGCGGAGGGTGGGAGCTGCATCATCCCCTTTTATTGTTGAGATGGGTGCCGGTGGTGATCATCAAGCCCATAAGTGGGGGGGCCCTCATGGTCAGGTCGACCCTTTGAGCAGCCACAAAACCCTGCACCTTGAAGAACCTTGTCCCTGCAATCCCTGCTTTGTCCAGTTCTGGCGGGTGGGGGAACTAGCGGGAATGCACTGCGGCTAGTAGCATCTGAGGGAACAGCTATTTGCTCCTAAACCCTAAACCCTAAACCCTAAACCCTAAACCCTAAACCCTAAACCCTAAACCCTAAACCCTAAACCCTGTAAACCGGAAGGACTGAGAATCGGGGATCACCAAGCCTGCAGCGCCTGCAGGGACTTTTGGCTCACATGCTTTAAAGAAATGACGTTGTCTTAGGGGCTGGGTACCCTAACCCAAAAAAAATGTTAGCCTTCTATTTGTGATAGGATTATGTAGAACCAAAAATCTTAGAGGTTGACTGCCCAGCCCCTAAGTCGTTGTAGAACCTACGGAACCTCGTCAACATCTTCAAATGAAACCCGGAATCGCCAGCTCGATACATGGGGGGTCTCCCAGATTTAGGGGGTCCCCCCAATACAGGTTAAAGGTTTAGGGTTCCGGCTTACCCCAAAAGAGTATAAGGCGCCTATTTTCGTAACCCCCACAAAGCGCACACACACACACACACACCCTACTATTGGAAGCAACTACCATCAGCCTACCTCACGTCCCAGGGCGGCGGCCCAGGACGAGGTTAACAGACTCCGCCCCTTGGCTACGAGAAGTCAGACTTGGTCTACACAGGTTTGAGGCTCAGGGGGCAAAATTGGTGACTTTGGTTTACCCTAAACCCTAAACCCTAAACCCTAAACCCCTGAACCCTAAACCCTAAACCCTAAACCCTAAACCTCCTGAATTCAAAACATATATATCGGCCAGTATGTACTCGCAGGCCGACAACCCTAAACCCCAAAACCCTAAACCCTAAACCCGAACCCCCTACTTTGCTTACCTGGAGTGTCTTGTACAAACTCCTTAGGTCAGGAGATCTGCCTTGCCGGGTAAAAAAAAACACGCATACATGGATTGATTTCTTTACCCTATTTGGGCGTACAGGGTAGTAGAGGCAGGGTTTAAGTTTGGGGTGTAGGGTACAGGGTCAGAGAAGAGCTCTCTGATGCACGATGTGCCAAAGAGTCAGATAAGGGTTCAGGGCATTCGGGGCTGAGGGTCAATTAACCCGGGCCCCGACCCGAAACCCTAAACCGAACAGCCCTCAAAAGTCTCCTGTTGCATGGACTGACAACCGACAAATCCGAAAAATGGCCCAGCGCAGACAGGACGAAGAGAACATGGGGTAGGCTCTTCATTATAGAGCTCCGGTCAATGTGTGCAGGGTTCCTTTTCTAAATACTGTTGGGCGCATGTAGAGGGTGTCCTTGGGGATGTTTACAGCGGGTTTAGGGTTTAGGGTTTAGGGTTTAGGGCTTGTTTAGGGTACCCAGAAGGTTACCCTAGCCAGGATTTTCAAGCACTGAGGGTTCCTAAGCCCCCAAGGCCTAAACCCTGATGCCAAAACCCTAAACCCTCAACCCTAAGCCCTGAAGCCTAAACCCTAAACTCCTAACCCTAAACCCTAAACCCCTAACCCTAAACCCTAAACCCCAAAAAGCCGGCAGCCCTAGACCCGAAAGCCCAAGGTGGCCAGGCTGCCAGTTTTCAGAACTCCAAGCACGTGCTCCAGCACCTGCTGCCAAACACAAAAATCTGGGGGTTTAGGGTTTAGGGTTTAGGGTTTAGGGTTTAGGGTTTAGGGTTTAGGGTTTAGGGTTTAGGGTTTAGGGTTTAGGGTTTGGGGTTTAGGCTTTGGGGCTTAGGGTTTAGGGTTTAGGGCTTCGAAGATTAGGGTCATGTTGGGCAAGAGCCCGAAACATGGAAGGGGCCGTAATGTGGAGAATTCCCCATGTGCTTCAGCTCTTGGGCGCCCAAGGTACGGTTTAGGGAGGGCCCTATCTTAGTTGCTCAATTCATAGGCCCCCCCAAAAAAGTGTACACTTTCAGTTCTATAGGGGGTTCTAGTATGCCAAAAAGAGTACAGTGTAGCCATTCAGCTACTAAGCTATTGCGTAATCCCTCAAAGGGTATACATATATATATATATATGTATATATGTATATACATATATTTTCTTTGTAGGGCCCTCATTTCCTTCCCTACTAAGAACCAGGGGGTCTTGGCCATTGGTGGTCTTGAGCTTGCTGGCCTTATGTGTTGCTTTAGGCCAAAAACCCCCCCCCCCCCCCCCCCCCCCCCCTCCCAACAGCTAGAAGCCTTCGCCGCATGAGCACTACATTGCCTCAAAACCCTGAACCCTAAACCCTAAACCCTAAACCCTAAACCCTAAACCCTCAACCCTCAACCCTCAACCCTCAACCCTCAACCCTCCCTAGATTTGCAATGCCGCCTCGCCCCAGCCGTTGCAACGTCGGACGATGGGCTCCGCGGCAGGGGTATCCTGTGTTTAGGGTTTAGGGCTTGGGGTTTTAGGGCTTAGGGTTTGAGGTCTAGGGTTTTAGGGTTTAGGGTTTGGGGTTTGGGGTTTAGGGTTTAGGGTTAAGGCAATTCAGGGTTTAGGGTTTGCTTCTGGGGGTCCGACGTCTAGGACTTTAGGGGGCCAGGTAAAAAGTGCACACTTCATTTGGAATGGAGGCCCGATTACAGCCATGAACCTGCAAACTGCTGCTTCACAACCATCGAAAAAAAACAAAAACCGAAAGAATCCCCTACAAACCTAAACATCCTACACATCCTAAACATCCTAAACATCCCAAGCCCCAGCACCAAGGGCCCTGAACGGCAAACTCCAGACAGCCCCAAACCCTAAGCCCCTTGAAGCGAAACAAAAGCAATCCGCATCAACACCGACTTCGTAGCCCAGAAACCACAGTATAAGGAGGGTACCTGTATCTTTTTGAATTGGGGCTGGTTTCACAAAAAGGAAACTTGAACGAGAAGAAGGGAAAAGGGCACCACTGGGCTGACAAACCGCAAGGTTTGTGCCTAAACCCTAAACCCTAAACCCTAAACCCTAAACCCTAAACCCTAAACCCTAAACCCTAAGCCCTAAGCCCTAAGCCCTAAGCCCTAAGCCCTAAACCCTAAACCCTAAACCCTAAACCCTGCCTCGGAAAAGGCCCGCAGAAGCAGCTTCTTCCCTCCGCCCAGGAGGGTCAGCTGCTCCTCGAGGTTCGTGCCTTTGAGGGTTTATGGGCTGTTTAGGGTTTAGGGTTTAGGGTTTAGGGTTTAGGGTTTAGGGTTTAGGGTGTAGGGTTTAGGGTTTAGGGTTGAGGGGGATGCAGGGGGTTTAGGCCACAGTCCAAAGCATGCCTTCCGTACTCGTCAACACTTTGCTCCTGCCGGTTGTGAATCCTGATTCCTACCCTTAAACCCGAATTCCGTTTGAAGCCCACAGCTGTAAACCCTAAACCTGGCAGACCCTAAACTCAAGACCCTATAACAAAACAAATGCCGATGAGATGAGGGCGCCTGGCACTCGCAAGTCTAGCAGCTGATGGCCTGCACACAAGCACCCACAGCAAAGTAGGTTTAGGGTTTAGGGTTTAGGGTTTAGGGTTTAGGGTTTAGGGTTTAGGGTTTAGGGTTTAGGGTTTAGGGTTTAGGGTTGAGTCACATTGAGGGTTGAGGGTTGAGGGTGTAGGGCTAATAGGCCTTTTGGCACTTTGGGGTCCCTCCTGTGGGGGAGGGGTGGGGGTTATCGTGCGAAGTTTTTTCTGGCTTAAGGCTTACGGGGCCATGAGACCAGGGAAACTCCAAGCCCTAAACCCTAAACCCTAAACCCCAAACCCTAAATCCTAAATCCTAAACCCTAAACCCTAAACTGACGTGTCAAGGGGCCTGCAGCGAGCACCTCCTTGACCGTTGGCCTGTCCGGCCTGAGGGGCTAGGGTTTAGGGTTTAGGGTTTAGGGTTTAGGGTTTAGGGTTTCGGATGTAGGGTTTAGGGTTTAGGATGTAGGATTTAAGGTTTAGGGTTCAAGGTGTTAGGATGTAGGGTTTAGGGTTTAGGGCTACGGATCGGGTTTGGGCTTCTCCAGCGCTATCCCGGATGCGTTCTCCGTCATAGTTGCAGGGCGAGCTTCTGGGCTTCGGATCCCTCAACCCGAGACCCCTAAACCCTACACCCCTAAAACCCCTAAACCCCTAAAACCTAAATCCCTTAAACCCCTAAAACCCCTAAATCCCTGCAACCCTTAAACCCCTAAACCCTTAAACCCCTAAACCCTTAAACCCCTGAACCCCGAAGCCACTGAACCCGCAGCTCCACATCTTCAGCCGAGCCGCAGGGGCGCTGAGGCCGCGGAGTGCCCTCCGCCATCGCCAGACCTAAGGTTTAGGGTTTGGGGTTTAGGGTTTAGGGTCTAGGGTTTGGGGTTTAGGGTTTAGGGTCTAGGGTTTGGGGCTTAGGGTTTAGGGTTTAGGGCTTCGGGTTTAGGGCTTCGGGTTTAGGGTTTGGGGTTTAGGCACGTGCACTCAGGCAGGGCGGTCCAAAGTCTGTGATCCGCCTGCACTTGCAGATGGCGTGTGAGATAGAAGAGAACTACAGAAAAGCATCCCATATGTTTAGGGATTTAGGGGTTTAGGGTTTAAGGTTTAGGGCTAGGGTTTAGGGTCTTGGGGTTTAGGGTTTAGGGTTGAATGCACGGTTCTCCAGGGTTTGGAGGGGTAGGCTTTAGTGTTTAGGATTAGGGTTCGGGGCTTACGGCGGCAGCAGAAGGAACATATCTTAGCTTTGGAGTAGACCCTAGAAAAAGAAGTATATACTTTTTAGGTATAAGTAGCTATAATAGGAACCCAGCACCAAAAAAAGCATTACAGTATAGCACTCCAAGACCCGGATAATTTATTCCCATAAATACTTGGCCCCCTGGGTCTTGCAAGCGAGGCGCTGGAACAACGACTCAAACACCCCGGGGCTCTCCTGGTGGCTGACCTCAGCTCCAGTTCAGGTCACCCTCCTAAACCCTAAAGCCTGAACCCTACTTCGCCCTAAGCCTTACTAAGCCCTCAGCGCAATTAGACCCAAGAGAAACCGGGGAATAACAAGGGTGCCCTTCTTTTGGTTCAAAGGGGTGTATATAAACAGGCAACCTAAGCCCTGAAAGAAGGGGAATGAGGCCCTACTCGGGGTGCCAGCCAATAGCATGCGTGGGGTTTACGGGCATGCTTGAAGGCAAGGCTGTACCCCATGGAGAAACAGACCGGTGAACGGGTGAGGAGGAGCTCTTGCAACCCTTAACCCTTAAGGCCCTTAAACCCTAAACCCCAAACCCCAAAACCCTAAACCCTGGACCGATCATTCTGCCCAACCCCTACAACCTGAACATCCTTGCCAACCCTGAAGTGCTTTGCCTCAAGACACCCCAACCCAATAACCCCAAACCCAGTAACCCTAACCCCTAAACTCCTGAACCCTAAACCCTAAACCCTAAACTCCTGAACCCTAAACCCCAAACCCTAAACCCAATGTCCGAGCTCCTCTGCAAGCCAGAACCCGAAATCCTAAATTCCGCGAGTATCAGAATACTGTCTAGGCACTATAATACACAAAATGCCCAAATGCTCTACTACACCAAGGCTACTATTTGCTTAAGACCCTCCCCAAAAAAACACACACAATAATAATAATAAGAATAATAATAATACTAAAAATAACAATAACAATAAAAGTAGAACATTCTTCCTTACAAGGGCAATGTAGGCAGTATTACCTTTCATGTTTCGGGGGGGGGGGCTTCTTAGTCCATCCCGTAGTAAGTCAAAGGCAGCCGAAGTACCGGTCGGATGCGGCCGTCACTGGTGAGGCAGATGCTGAGACTCTTGGTAGACTCGTCTAAGCCTGTTGGTCTCATGGGCGGGGATTGGGGAGGGGGGGGGGGGGTCTCCGTTTTGGTGGCTCAAAACTTAAACAAAACTCGACACCCTAAACCCTCTTACCATGGGTGGGGGTCCTTTGGCCCCATACCCTAAACCCTCTATCTACCATGATTGCGGGTCCTTTGGCCCCATACCCTAAACCCTCTATATACCACGATTGGGGGTCTTTTGGCCCCATACCCTAAACCCTCTATACCCGAATTCCCGAAACCCTCTATACCTTAAAACCCTAAAACCTTAAACCCTAAACCCTAAACCATGATTGGGGGTCCTTTGGCGCCATAACGATTGGAACCACACACTTCGACGGGTGGGCCGTGTTCAGGGCTTGGGCGATTTCGAGTTGCAGGGCTCGGGCTTTCAAGGTTAAAGGGGTTTAGGGTTTAGGGTTTAGGGTTTAGGGTTTAGGGTTTAGGGTTTAGGGTTTAGGGCTAGGGTTTAAGGCTTAGGTATTCATGCTATTCAACTTGCTGTTATCATATTTGTGGCCCTGCGCTCTGAGGATGGGGCAGGTGAACTCCGGCATCTGGGAAGGCCATCCTGGGGCCAGAGCATGGGCTGAGGAGCCGAGGGATTTTAGGGGTTTTCTTAACATTGCAAAACGCCAAAGGGGGTTTTTTAACGTTAAAAAAAACCCGAAACGCCAAATGGGGTGTTTTAACGTTAAAAACCCTGAGGAGCTGACGGATTTTGGCTCGGTTCCATTGTGAAGGGATGCTTGTATATATATATATATAATACATATATATATATATATATTTGTATTTATTTTTCTTTGGGGGGGGGGGGAGTATGCTACTCAATCAATACGACCCCGAAGCGAAAATCGACACCATGTGAGGTTTCGGCTTCATGGTGGACTCCTTGTACCTGTATTGCTCGTCTTCTTGTGAGGACAGGCATGCCTTTGGCTGGGACTATGCAGACATGATGATATCTTTCTGCTGCTCTCTTTGCACTCCTTACTCTTGTAGGGTTCTTCTGGCATAGTCACACCAAACCTCAAATCTTGTCCGGTGCCGTCCCCTCATGCCAATAAGCGGGCAAGTCACGCGTCAGCATGTCCTTGGTGGCAGCCCTAAACCCTAAACCCTAAACCCTACACCCTAAACCTGAAACCCTAAACACTAAACCCAAAGACGGCACTGAGCTGCGAGCGCCACTTCTCACTGAAGAGTTGGTTGAAGCATGGAGTTGAAGGTTTACCTTAACAACCCCAAACCTACCGTGTTTTGGTAGGTTACCTAGGAAGCCTATAAGGGGGTTCTATAGTCATAACCTGCAAAACAAGTAGGTTTTGCGTTCTTGAGGTAGGGTTGGGACTTTAGAGGGTTTAGGAACAGGGCCCTGGATGTGGGTGTGCCATTGTGCAGAAGGGCTACGACTTGCGGTTCGTAGGCCCATTGCCCGTTCAGATGGAGGAAGCGATCTTGCACTCGATAGGACCTGGTGTGAGTAAAGGTACCTTTCTTAAGGGTTACTTGTCTCACTGGGGACCCAAAGCACGAAGCTCCTGACCGCCAAAACCCTAAACCCGAACCCTAAACCCTAAACCCTATCCCCTACACCACTTCCACATGGCGGCTAAGGTGACCCTACGTCGCGGGCCGACCCCACGTGGGGCCCGACTGAAGCACCCGAAGGTACCCACATAGGGAATCCCCTGAAAGGGCTCTCAATAAAGGGTACCCTTTTTTCGGAAACCCCAACCCATGTAGCTCAGGTACAATCCCCTATTTGGGGCTAACGCACTTTTTCAGGAATGAGTTTCATGACTCGCAATGCCGGACTCGTCGGCGTGCCTTGGACGTGACCCTCCCTGCGAAACCTTCCAAGCCCTAAATCGTCCGCCCTAAGCCCTAAGCCCTAAACCCCAAACCCTACACCCTGAACCCTGAGCCGCAGCAAAGCCCGTGACAAACTTGAGAACCCTTACACCCTTCAACCCTTCAACCCTTAAACGCTTAAACCCTTAAACCCTTAAACCCTTAAACGCTTAAACCCTTAAACCCTTAACCCCTTAAACCCTTAAAACCCTTAAGCCCTTAAAACCTTCAACCCTTAAACCCTGATCGGGCCAACGACGCCCCACCAAGAAGCCGCCCTCTCCAGGACGTAGCCGAACCGATCCAATGCGCTTCGGAAGAGGTCCACGCCCTCTGAGGAGTCCTTTCTCGGAACGTTCTCTTGGGGCTTCGGGTTTAGTTTGGGTTTAGGGTGTAATTAGGGTTCATGGGATTAGGGCTTAGGGTTTAGGGAAATGGGGTTAAGGGTGGGTGTTTTTTTTTTTTTTTTTTTTTTTTGGGGGGGGGGGGGGGGGGGGCTCCAAACTCTTGGAATCTTGGTAGCTTACCAAGTCACCGCTCCAGAACTCAATGAAGGAACATTTCGACTCCTTTTTTGGGGTTTTGTGCTCCCGAAGACCCTGCTACACAACGATTTGGGGCTGTTTTGAACATACGGGTTTCGTTAGTTCGTGCTTGGAGAAGTCTAAAGGTGGCCTGTGCGCTTGTCGCGCAATGTCGTGTTGTCTTCCACTTGAGGGCCTTTGCTGGTACGTTTGTTCGCCCAACTTCTTTGCATCTTGGGAGTCGGGGATACGTTGGAGTTCAGAAGAATGGTCCTCGTCGCCTGTCGCAGCTGCAGGCTACGATTTCGGAGGGCGAGCTTGTAATTGCTACAAGTATCCGTCACAATCATTACGTGGGGCGTTCAGTGCTCAAGTCTATTCTGCACTGCTCACTATGTAAAACGAGACACACACACAATCGTCGAAGTTTATGGCTCTCTCTCTCTCGCTCTCTCTCGCTCTCTCTCTCTCTCTCTCCCTAAACCCTAAACCCTAAACCCTAAATCTCTCTCTCTCTCTCTCCTCCATCTCTCGCTCTCGGCTTTGCCTACGCGGGGCATGAGTCGCTGCACAATTAATGCATGCACCCTCTACGGAATGCTGACCCCGAAATCAGTGTTTGGCCACCAAAAGGAGAACGTAAGCGCTATTTTCTCTATGTTATGGCTTTTTTGCAGGTTCCTGGGCTTTCACAAGCTGCTTGACTAGTGCATGCCTGGACTTGAGATACCCGAAACCCTAAGCCCGAAACCCTAAACCCTGAACCCTGAACCCTGAACCCTAAACCCTAAACCCCAAACCCTAAACCCTAAACCCTAAACCCCTCCAACCCTTACACTCAGATCTTCCGGGATCCCGGGCGGCATGGTGCTCAGCGGCCACCGATTGGCCCATAATGGGAGTAGCCTCACACGACGGAAATCTTGCAGTCTTTTGGACCCAGGGAGTTTTCTTAAGGGGTTTAGGGTTTAGGGCTAGGGTTTAAGGTTTAGGGTTTAGGGTTTCGGGTTTGGGGTTTAGGGTTTAGGGTTTCGGGCTTAGGGCTTAGGGCTTCTTATGAATCTAGGGGCTAGGGTTTTGTTTAGGATGAGTCTTTAGGGCTTCGGGTTGTGGGGCGTAGGGTCTATCATGAATTTCGGGTTTAAGGTTTAAACATGTTTGAGCCCTATAGGATTAGGGTTTTTTAAACCCTCGACCCCCAGCCTATAGCCTCCAAGAAATGTTTAGTGGGCAGCCTCCATGGCAATTTCGGCTTGAGGACACACAGGAATTTCGGTTTCAGTGAACTCGGAGAACTTAGTAAGTAGATTGTAAGTGGGACTCGAACTCGAATAGCCCACATCTCTTTGTTACGTGATGATTCGCCTGATCCCCCGAATGTCGGTACTTTTTTCCGAAATGTTTGAGCGTGTTCACGTTGTCATGCTTGCCCGGAATTGTGCTAAGGTTTGTTGATCATCTGAAAGCTTGACATCAGCTTCGGAGATCTTCTGAGCTGAGCCTGAAACAAAGCTAGCCCTAATAAAAGGTCAACCATTCAACTAGGTTAGGATGATTAAACCTTGGGATGCTCCCCCTTATACTAACAGCTCCTGTATAGGGATTATAATAGGGGGGTACTAAAATCCCTTTTACTAGGCTGCCCAGCAACCAAGGTTTAAAAAGGGAGCCCTTTTTTGCTTAAAGGGGTGTATAAGGGAACCCAAACCCCCTAAAAAAGGGAATAAGGGTACTACTGGGCATCCTAGTTTAAGGACTGTTAGTACAAGGTGGGAGAGCCCCCCAAAAAGCCTAAGGCTTGAAGTCAGGCAGGCTGAAGGTCGCAGGCTGCCCGGCGTCAGGATCTCAAAATCAAACCCTAAACCCTAAACCCTAAACCCTAAACCCTAAACCCTAAAGCCTAAACCGAGGCCAAAGCTAAGCTTAGTTTTTGAGTTCACTAAGCGCCAAAAAAGTGTACAATTTCAGTCCTGTAGGGGAGAGTAGTACCCCAAGAAGTTTAAGGGTGTGCTCATGCAGCTACTAAGGAAGATTCCCTTTTCTAGATCCTCGGTAGCGAGGCCAGGGAATCATTTTGCAAAGGTCGTAATGAGTCTCTGCGACAGTGGAAGATTTATCCAACTCCAGGTCCATTTCTCCTCCTCAGCTTCATGCAAGCTGAAGGACTGTGCTGCGAATTCTTCTGTGTTCCTTCGGAAATTCTTCTGACATCTTTTTGAGAGTCTTCTGAGATACTTCTGAGCTCATGAGCCAGCGACCCCCTCCCTCCCAACCACTGACCCCGCACGATTGTCACGGAATACCGGGATACCCGTTGTGTCAAAGAGAGGGCAGGCGGGTCCTACATTCGACGCTATAACCCTGCTCACAACGTACTTAAGAAATGTCCGAGCCTTCAAGTCAAGCACACGACCACTACCCGAAGACCCCCCCCCGTCCCGCGCTGCCTCACTTCTGGCGCCAGCGATGAGAGCCGAGATAGCGCATGGTTGGGCTTCGGGTTTAGGAGGGTTTAGGAGAGTTTAGGAGGGTTTAGGAGGGTTGAAGAGGGTTTAGGGGTTGGTGATCGGGGTTAAGGTGTTGTCCCTGCTTTAGTCGGCTTGGTGATTTGGGGCAAAAGCCTGATGGCAGAAGGCTGTAAGGCTCAGGGCAGCCAGGGAAGAGTACAAACAAAAAAGGGGGTCTTGCATCTTCGGGGGAAGCACAATCGGACCTATCGTTCTTCTAGTCCTTATCTTCGGTCCCCCAACTCTCATCTCACCTCCCTGTATCTAAGAAAGGCCAGACAGAGACCGACCTGGTGAGCCACATGCCATGGAGGTTTTGGGTATCGTGAGATCCTGTACTCCCAACACAACTACCCCACCCAATAGTTCTGGCGAAATCCTGAACCCCAAACCCTAAAATTCCCCAACACAACTCTTAGGTACGGCATACTTGGGCCGTAGCTAAGGATAGCTCAGGCCGTGCTTGCAGGAGGATTTGCTTGAGCTTCCGAGGTGAAGTAAGGGTTTAGGGCTTAGGGATAGGGTTTAGGGGTTTAGGGCTTAGAGGTTCAGGGTGTAGGGTTTAGGGTTAGGGCTAATGTGCCCTGTACCCTAACACGTCTCATGCAAACCCCAAAACGGTGAAACTACCTACCCGGCTGTTAAGCGGGCAACCTGCGGCATCCTAGGTCTATCATGTTCAGGGGTGCCGACACCTTAGAAAAAGGTGTTTTCAGGCGTTGGGTTTGCGTCTACATCTGCAAGCCCCTCAGTTTGCCAGAGTCTACTGAATTCGACCTGCTTCACACTCCCCCTATAGCGCGCAGAGGCCCTTAAAACTCGCACGAGCCCTATACAGATCAATTTTTATCCAATCCCGCAAGCCATAGGACACAAGCCAATACTGCGAATTGGGGCATAAGGTTAAGGTTCAGGGTTTCGGGTTCAGGGTTCAAAGTTTAGGGTTTAGGGTTTGGGGTTTAGGGTTTAGGGTTCAGAATATATTTTTCTAAGGCTCCTGCAAGCAGGGCAAAGATGGTCGAGTAGAACCTGAGCCAAGATGATTGGGATGCTACTTGGGTACTTCTCTCAGATAGGATCCCCGTTCGAGGCCCCGTCCTTCTAGAATCCGCCGCCCTTAGGATATGTACCACAAAGAGGGCCCTAGCTTAGACAGCTACCCTGAACGCTAAACCCTAAACCCTAAACCCTAAACCCTAAACCCTAAACCCTAAACAACCCTAAACCCTAAGCCTTAAACCCTAAGCCTTAAACCCTAAACCCTAAACCCTAAACCCTGCTCTGGTGCAGCCCTCTTGCTCTGCGGCTTGCATGTGGAATGCACGCTCAAGTCGCAGACTCTGAAGGCAAACACGCCACCAGCAACAATACAGGGGTTTAGGGTTTTGGGTTTAGGGTTTAGGGTTTAGTTAATAATAAGAACTGGGTTGTGGGGGGTTACTATAGTATCTTTATTAAGAGATCAGAAGGGAATGCTTTTAGTAATTATTCCGACCCCTATAGCCCACATGTCTGAGTCGAGCACGTCTCATTGCTTGCAGCGGCCACGCTGGCAAACACCACCTGCAACAGGACCTACTATTTGCTTAAGAACCCCCCAAAATTGTAAAAAACAAAAAAACATTCTGCCTTGTAAGGGCAATATAGGGATCACAATGTCTTCCTTTTTGGGGAGTTCTTAAGCAACTAGTAGGGACCGCAATCGTTTCTTGCCCCTGCCGCGGGGCTTAACACAAGAGAGAAGAGAAACGCCAAGGATCCACAAGTCAACGCGAGACAATGGGAACAGAGCCCCTCTCTGCGCTGACATGCGGACCTTGGCCGTGGCCGTGTGCCTTGCTGCCCCTCTTGGGACCCTGCTATGGTGGATTTTTTATCCTAATAAGTTCACCCTGAACCCCCCTGGGCCCGAAGTCCTAAACCCTAAACCCTAAACCCTAAACCCTAAACCCTAAACCCTAATTAAACCCTAAACCCTAAACCCCCGGAACCGCAGCTGCAAAGCAAAACATGTCGGGTCTGAGCAGCCCGGCCAAGCTGGTTGACAGCAGCACGTCCAAGACCTTAGGACTCCAGCAGCTTCCGCCCTAAACCCTTAACCCTAAACCCTAAGCCCTAAGCCCTAAACCCTAAACCCTTGGTTGCTGAGTTCATAAGCCCCCCAAAAAGGTGTACACTTTCAGTTCTATAGGGGATGATAGTATCCCTCAGCTACTAAGAACCCCAACCCCCCCCCCCCCCCCAAACCCTATACCCTAAACCCTAAACCCTAAACCCCCCGCACCTATCCAAGGGCTTCCAAATTGAGGGTTCAGGGCTCAGGGAATTAGGGTTTAGGGTTTAGGGTTTAGGGCTCAGGGAATTCGGTTTTGGGTTTCGACTTCCCGAATTTTCTAGGCTGCCCAGTAACCTAGGCTTAAAGGGGGTCCCCTTTTTCGCTTAAAGGGGTTTATAAGGGAACCTAAACTCCCCAAAAAGGGAATAAGGGCACTACTGGGCATCCTAGTCTTGGAGGTTTTGGACACTTCTGAGGCGTGTTAGTACACAAACCCTGAACCCTAAACCCTAAACCCTAAAACCCCTAAGCCCCTAAGCCCCTAAACCCTAAACCCAAACACCTTCGGTCCGAAGTCCAAACCATCAAGATCAACCCTAGGCCTGAAACTGCCCGAAGCCCTATAAGCCCTGAACCCTCTCTCTCTACCGCAGGGGTTTAGGGTTTAGGGTTTAGGGTTTAGGGTTTAGGGTCTAGGGTCTAGGGTTTAGGGTCTCTAGCGCACCTACGCAGTCGTGGTCACTCCAAGCCCCAAGCCAATTGTCACCCTTATATCTCTTACAACCCAACAAGCCCCAAAAAACTCCCTAAGCACGAAAGCCTCAAACAAAGAAACCCCAAAAGCCCCAAAACCCCAAAACCCCAAAAGCCCCAGAGCAGAAAGAAAGCCCCGAAAACCAAACCCTGACCCCAAAATCCCAAACCCCGAAAACAGCCCCTACAAAATCCAAAAGCCCGTTAAAACAACGCCCCCAACCCCAAAACCCTAAGCCCCCAAACCCCAAAAACCCCAAAACCACGAAAAACTCAAAAACGCCCAAAACCCTGGTCCTAAACCCTAAACCCTTCACCCCTAAACCCCTAAACCCTAAACCCTAAACCCCAAACCCCAAACCCCGAACCCTAACCCCGAAAACCTCAGCTCCCTCCTAGGGCTTCCGCATGCAGAAACGGCATGCAAGGCGACGCAAACATCTGGGAGGGGCCGGCTCGTGGCTTCCGACGCTTTTAGGAGGTTTAGGGTTTAGGGTTTAGGGCTTAGGGCTTAGGGTTTAGGGTGTAGAGTTTAAGGTTTAGGGTTTAGGGCCTCTTCTTAGGGTCATCATTCAAAGGCTGAAGGGAACGCTGTGAGTAGGGTTCTACGGCAGGTAACGACTGGGATCTCCTGGCCGTTCAATGCCTTCAGCATTGTATCCAGGGTTCAGGGTGTAGGGTCTACTTCGGTAGGGTACGTAGAGGGGGGCGTAGCTAGCCAGAAAAATCCCCAACCTCCTGAATCCTCCCCCCCCCCCCCCCCCCCCCCTCCAAGAAATACTGGTAATAGTATGTACAGGAATATATCTGTATATGTAAATATATATATATATATATATAGTAATAACAACACATAATCTATATAATTATATACACATACACAAACATGTTGCTATTTATTTATGCACTTATATCTATATGTTTGTATTTATTAATCGAGACCCAGAACACTGAACCCCCAGCCCATAAGCCCAAAACATCAGCTGGAGCCAGGAGCAGGAGCAGGAGGAGTCGGAACGAGATTGCAAGGAGCTCTCTTTGGGGGGGGGGGGGGGGGGGGGGGGGGGGGGGTAGGGTTTAGGGTTTGGGGTTCGGGGTTCGGGGTTCGGGGTTCGGGGTTTAGGGTTTAGGGTTTAGGGTTTAGGGTTTAGGGTTTAGGCCTGGGGGGAGGTTGGGGTTGCGGGTCTCGGGTTTTGAGACAGGGGGTTGAGCTGTCCACTGCCCCATTTTTCCGTGGACAAGTTCCGTTTTGCCTATCAGGCCTGGGGCTTAGGGTTTTCGTGTTTCAGGGCCTCAAGGCCTCAGGGCCTGAGGTTTAGGGTTTCAGGGCCTCAGGGCCTGCGGGTTTCAGAGCCTCAAGGCCTAGGGTTTAGGGTTTCAGGGCCTCAAGGCCTCGGGTTTGGGGTTTCAGGGTCCGGGGTTTAGGGTTTCAGGGCGTCAGGGCCTGAGGTTTAGGTTTGAGGGCTTCGGGCCTCGGGTTTAGGCTTTCAGGGCCTCAGGGCCTGGGGTTTAAGGTTTCAGGGCATAAAAGGGTTAATGAAGACCCTGTATTATCTTTATGTTTGGGATTCCTTGTGGGTCGGTGGAGTTTTTCCTGTCGCTTGCAAACTGCTTGACTAGTGCAAGCTAGTACATGAGCTGCTGAACCCTAAACCCTAAACCCTGAACTCTTTTTCTGGCTCGGGCCAGGCCTGGGTGCCATGCAACGGAAAAACGCCACTGAGAGGCTGAGCATGAACCGGGGGATTCTCTGAGTCTAAAGTTAGGGTTTAGGGTTTAGGGCTTAGGGTTTAGGGCTTAGGGCTGAGGGTTTAGGGCTAAAACCCTTAACCGGATACGAGGCCCCGTGTTTTTGTCATAGGAACCTTTTGAATTAGGGAGCTACCTTTTGCCGAAAGTTTACGGTTTAGCTGTTCGAGTTTAAGTGTTATAGGGCTTAACCCTAAACCCTAGACCCTAGACCCCAAACCCTCTAGGGTAGAGGCCCCTCAACAAAAAAAAACTTAAACCCTAAACCCCAAATTATACATCAAACCCTAAACCCTATAGCCTCATAAACCCCATAAACCCCAACACCCTAAACCCACATCAAAGTTTTGCTGTATGGTCTCTGCGTGTGCACGAGGATGGCACATAACAAAAACTCTCTGAACACATCCGAAAGGTGGACCTTGGGATGTTCCCCCGTAGAAGGTCCTAGGGCCTGACATTGCCTTCCCATTGCCTTCCAGTGGCGCAAGGGAGTCTGGGGAGCATCTCGCTTTGAGCGTGTGTCACCAGGCTACCCTTCACAATCCTGGTGCTCATAAAACGAAGTCCAGGGTTTAGGGTTTAAAGTGTTTGAGCTTTGAAACCTAAACCCTAGACCCTAATTAAACCCTAAACCCTAAACCCTATAAGCCCTGTAGACCTTATGAACCCCAAACCCTAAACATAAGTTCAGGCCTTGGGGCCTGGAGCTCGGAGGCTGCGTGGCCCTGCTGCCACCTCAGCCCCTGAGAACTTAAAACCTGTGGTAGGCTGCCCAGTGGTTTAGGGTTTAGGGTTTATAATAGGGTTTAGGGATTAGGATCTCAAGGTCTTGCTAAGCAGTCTACCACTGGGCGTCCTTGCTGTTCTACACTGGCGGACTGTCTGGGGAGGGCGCCTAAACCCAAAATCCTAAACCCTAAACCCTCAACCCTAAACCCTCAACCCTAAACCCTCAACCCTAAACCCTAAACCCTAAGCCCTACCCAAAAGACCCAAACTTCTCGCGCGGCTGGCTTGCAGCCAGACTCGGCAGATCCCGGACAAAGAAAGGCAGCCACCGGCCCGTGCACGAAAACCCTGCTGATAAAGGCTCGACGGGAGTGCAAGCGTAAAGATCAGCAGAGTTTCTACTTGGAGGTTCTTACCCTTGTAAATAAGGCCCTGAAGTACCATAAAATAGGGCAGTTGGGCTACTAAGTACCATGAACCTCCAAGCAGAGCGTCCTTGACAGGGGGCTTTGGAGATGTCAGCGTTTGGGGCTGAGGCTTCCAAAAATGCAGAGTGCGAGCCACACTGACGGAGTTGCACTCGCACGCTGCAAATGGAACATGACCGGGCCACGCGCAATGTCCAGGAGCCTCTCCGCCCTCGAAGCCTAAACCCCTTTCAGGACACTTTCAAGAAATCAGACCCTGCAAGCCTGCAACCCTAAACCCTAAACCCTAAACCCTAAACCCTAAACCCTAAACCCTAAACCAGCACTTGAGGCTTCCCGGACTACCAGGGCTCATGGACCCTGCATTAAGCCTAGGTGGAGTCCTTAACTTCCCCCCAAAAGCCTCCACAACACGTGCCCTTAGGGTTTAGGGTTTAGGGTTTAGGGTTTAGGGTTTAGGGTTTAGGGTTTAGGGTTTAGCGTTGAGGGTTCAAACCTCGGAACCCTGCCAAAGACCCGAGCTCAAGTAAAGGGCTCAGGGCTCTACAGTGTTTGGGGATTAAAGGATTACAGGGTTCAAAGGGATTTTTGTTAAAGGTTGTTTGGGGTTTAGGGTTCTGGCAGTAGGGTGTCTTTGTTGGAGTCAGGGTCTCGGGTGTAGGGGGGCTCTTGGGTGTAGGGGCTCGAGACAAGGTACGGCACGGCCCGGAAAGTGCCCAGATTGTTCGTGCGGACGTCGTACAGCCGGTCCCTTCTCTCTGGCTTTTGCCTCCTTGCTACGGATTTTTTGTTGGGTCTCCCCCATCGGGATGATCTGAAGAGGGGAGCCAAAAGCTAAGAGCCAACCGTTTTTTTTTTTGCTTTTCCGCGCTTGCGGCCACAAGGCCCCGGAGAGCGTGAGGTTCTGTGGACCGCCCCTGTAGCCTCGACCGGGTCACTTGGCCCCTTGGTTGCTGAGTTCATAGGGCCCCCAGGAAGATGCACGCTGCAGTTCTATAAGGGGCATTGTGTGGTATGCCAAATTTTTAAAAGTCCTAAACCCTAAACCCTAAACCCTAAACCCTAAACCCTAAACCCTAAACCCTAAACCCTAAACCCTAAACCCTAAACCCTAAACCCTAAACCCTGTACAAACTGTACTCATTCAGCTGCTAAGGCCCTCATGGCTCGGCGCGGGCGTCGTGCTCGTAGTGCTCATGTTGCTGGTGGGAGGGGAAGGGCCATTGCTGGAACCGGGTGCGGAGTTCACCTGAATATTACCCAAAATAGGGGTAGCCCTTATACCCCAAATAGAAAAGAATTAGATTGAATCTCCTTAAAGTATTCCCTTATGGTCCCTCAGTAATTATACCATAAGAATCCCCCCAAAAGGGGTACCCCACCCCCCCCCTATTTTCGTAGAGACCCCCCACCTTGATGTCCAATGCGGCATCGGCCGTCTGGTCCGTCGGCAGCCCCGCCTCTATACTATAGGGGCCGTCATAATTATAAGAATAATTGGTTTATAATACATATAAATAAGCAAATATATATATATATATATATAAATATATATATATATATATTTTATATTATATATATATATATATATTGTTTCTATTCTTTTGGGGGGGGTCATTGTGACGAGGGTTTAGGGTTTAGGGTTCTACGAACAGTCCTTCACGGCCATTGTAGTTCCCACCCTATGATAATCCCCATTGAGGCCTGCTAGCATAAGGTGGAACCCTAAACCCTAAACCCTAAACCCTAAACCCTAAACCCTAAACCCTAAACCCTAAACAAAAAGGATTTAGGCCTCAAGGAGGTGATGGATGAAGGCGTCGCTGGCCTCCCGCTCGGTGGGCGCTTTCAGCGCCTCCCGTGCTGCGGTTTCATCCTCGGTTGGCCCTTCAAACACTCCACGTTTAGGGTTTAGGGTTTATAAGGGTTAAGGGTTTAGGGTTTAGGGTTTAGGGTTTAGGGTCCTAAATGATGATCCGCTTCAACTCACTAAGGGAAAACACAAAACTCTCCCCAAGGGCCTACCCAGCATCCACACCCGGGGCGGTGAGGAAGACGGTGTAGGAGTATTCCATCTTCACCTTAGTTGCTGAGTTCATAGGCCCCAAAAAGTCTACACTCTCAGTTCTATAGGGGGGATGGTAGTATCTCCCAAAAAGGTGTAGAGTGGTACCGACTCAGCTACTCGGTCACTAGGTTCAGCCTCCGGGCCACCAGCCTCCTTGATGAACTTGATGGGATACGCTCGGCGACCTGGACATGACGTGGTCGCACGCCATGCCCAGTAAGGTTCCTTGCTTTGGAGTAGACGCTGAACAAAAAATATATACTTTTTAGGTATAAGTAGCTAGAATAGGAACCCAGAACAACAAAAAAGTATTAAAGTATAGTACTCCAAGACCCAGGTTCGCAAGGGAGGCCTGAAGAGCTGAGGCGACTTGGGCAGAGTACAGCTGGAAGACTGCGTCGTTGAGCTTGAGCTCCGCTTTCCCCACAAGGATGGAGGTCTCATCAGGACAGTAGTACCTGAAATCCGCAAAGATGCACTCGGAGATCGTCTCGCAGTTCCTTCCCAAAGGCCGAGGACACGCCGAGCTGTCGTCCTTGCTGGCGTCGCAGCCACAGGTTGTTGGGCAGAAGCCTTCCATGGTTTTCAGACCCCAGTCAAACCTCCAAGAAAAGCAAGTCCCCCATGTCACGTTCATCTCCGTAAGCTTGTCGCCGAAGGAACAGCCATGCTCCCACATGGCATCTGCAAGAACCAAGGCTTCTGCCTTTCCTTCACGAGTGGCCTCCGATTCCCCAACGGCCCTGACGGATTGAACCCACTGAGACCAGGACGCATCTGACCGGAGCTCTTCGGCAGACTTTTCCTCGCAGCTCGAACGCTGCAGGTTCCGCAGGAAGGCCTCCGAGGACCAGCAAGGCCGGCCCAGCCCGTAGGGACAGCCCTGTGTTTTCATAAACTCTCCGGCTGGTTCATTGCAACCACAGGTATCCGAGCAGAACATGCGTGCAGCAAAGCCCTTGCCCTTGCTCCCATCTAGGAGGTCACAGTAGGGTTTGGCATCCAAACACCCCATGACGCTCTGGTTCCCCAAAAAACCTAGGTTGCTGAGTTCAGAAGTCCCCCCAAAAGAGTATCCACTTTCGGGGTTATAGTGTCCCAAAAAGTGTAAAAACCCCTAAACCCTAAACCCTAAACCCTAAACCCTAAACCGTGTGCTCACTCAGCCACTAAGAAGCTACGTAGGTAGTTCCGAAGTGGCTCCGTGTCTCCCAGGTCGCCGCAGCGTGGGTTGGCCAAGTCCACCGCCCGCTCCACGTCCAGCGTCGACGTCTCGGCCAGGTCGTCCATGCCATCCAGCCAAACCTGACTCATGGTTGGGATAGTATTAATTAATATTCTAAAATTGGGTTTGGGATAGTATTAATATTCTAAAATTGGGTTTAAGTACCCTTAAAATGAAAAAAATGATACCCAAATTGAAACCCGAAACCCTAAGCCCTAAACCCGATGACAAAGAAACACCCCAAGAGGATTCCTCCCTCTCGAGCAAAATCTCGGCTTCATCGATGGCCTTGAACTGCAACCTTGGATTTTCCCAGTAACCATCTTTATAACAAGGAACCCCTTTTGGGGTTTCGGGTTTAGGGTTTAGGGTTTACTTGAGAAGGGAACGCAGAAGCAAAACAAAGGGTAAAGGGTTTAACTGGGCTATCAAGCAACTCTAACCCAGGGTCATTCCAGCCGTCGCCCTGTGTCGGGCTGAAGAGCACCACGCTGCGGGCGTCTGTGGTCCAAACGAACTTCAGGTTACCTCCGCACAGGGCCTCCTGGGCACTCACTAAGGTGGTGACCATGGGCGCCAGCATGTTGGCGTAGACGAACGCCGTGGCGAGAGGGATGAGAACCAGCATGCACCTTAAAAAGACAAGCCGGCAGTTGTCACGGGTACCCTGCAGATTCTTGGAAGGGGTATATGATTATGGCGATAGTTAGGGCTCCTTAAATGGGGTTTGGTTATAAGGGGATCCTGCTATTTGGGGGTCCATACTAGGGGTCCCTTGTAAACCTCCATATGTAAGGGTTGTAGGGACCTCCTTTTGTCTTCGAGGTTCTAACAGCCACCTCCTTTTATTTTGGGGCACCAGGGAAGGCCCGGAACGGAGGCCAACCCGCACGTATCTACAGTGGGGGAAGACGATCCCATCTTCAAGAGCTCTCGGAGCCTTCAACTGGGCCCCAAATCCTGCACCCTACTGCCCAAGGCACGTGGATTTGAGGTCCGCGCCCCGTAGCCGCGGTAGTGGCCTCAGCTGTTGCTGAGTTCATAGGCACCAAAAAAGGTCTACACTTTCAGTTCTGTAGGGGATTACAGTTCTGTAGGGGATGATGGTATGCCAAAAAGTGTATAGTGTACTCATTCAGCTACTGGGCCATGATAATCCCTTAAAGGGCATATGTAAGGCCTTCATTCCCTCCCCTACTAAGAGCTACTAAGTGGCTTCATGGGAAGAGGGTCCATCTGGTTCACCAGGTGGCGACCCGGCGTGGTGGCCAGTGCCTCAGAGAGTCGTGGGTTGAGGGTTTCATCGGGTTTTGGGGGTTTAGGGGTTTAGGGGTTAGGGTTTTAGGTTTAGGGCCGAAAGGGCCCAGAGACTTGCATATAGGGTTGCCGAAATTAGGGGTACCTTATTGGGGCCCTTATTCTCAGGGAATCCTACTAGGTTGGGGTCTAGATGAGGGGTCCCATACTTGTGAACACCCCCATGTAGGGTAACCCTAAACCCCAAACCGTAAACCCTAAACCCTAAACCCTAAACCCTAAACCCTAAACCCTAAACCCTAAGCTTGCAGAACTTATGGGGTTGATAGGGCTGGGGCTTCGATGTCTGAGGCGCATCGAAGAGCAGGTCGTCGATGTCGAGGATAATCGCGAGAGCCACCGCCTCAGAGGGCGTGAGCTTCAGGCGGTTTAGGGTTTAGGGTTTAGGGTTTAGGGTTTAGGGTTTAGGGTTTAGGGCTTCAGGTGCGTTCTCCCGAAGGGTGTGGGGTTTTAGGGTTCTTTTAGGGTGTCGGACCTTGAGGTTCTTTAGGGTTTAGGACTTTAGGGCTCTTTAGGGTTTAGGACTTTAGGGTTCTTTTGGGTTTAGGACATTGGGGTTGCTTCTTAGCGCTTTGCTGTTGACGGCTTAAGACTTAAGGCTTGTGTTTAGGGTTTTTTGACTTTGGGGGTACTTCGGGTCTAGGACTTTAGGGGTACGTATGTAGGGTTTGGGGTTCGGGGTGCGGTTTAGGGCTGAGGGCTGAGGGTTGACTAATCCTGAAGCCACCCAAGCAGAGCTGGTGCATATTGACCGCATGTGGGCCTTTTGTTCGGCGCCCAAACCGGCCACCAAACTTCCAAGCGAGTTCCCATCACCCCCTCCTGAAGTCCTGAACCCTTCAGCATTTTAAATGCGGATAAGTTACAACAGCATACAACCCAAGGGAAAGCACGCGTCTTGTTTGATGCTTTTTTCTTATAAAAGGGCACTGAAGCTCCCCGTCTCTCCCCCCCCCCCCCCCCCCCCGCCCCCACAAGAAACAAAACACATGGGTTTAGGGTTTAGGGTTTAGGGTTTAGGGTTTAGGGTTTAGGGTTTAGGGTTTAGGGCAGACACAAGAAGCAATGGCACTGCTGGGCATACTAGGCAAACAGAAACAACACCCAAACGTGACGGCAGAGACCAGGCCAGGGTGCGTTGAGGATCAGCTCCGTGACGTTGATCGTGTACACCAAGAAGAAAGTCCTTCAACTAGACCCTGGAGTAACCTAGGAATAAAAAGGGTACCCTTTTTGGTTGTAAGGGGATTATAAGGGAACCCCAACCCTAAAAGAAGGGAAAAAGGGCCTACTCCGGGTCCTAGTCAATGAATTGACTGCCTAGTTGTACGATGTTATTTCGGAAAATTGCTTGCAACCTCCCAGTTGCTGAGCCTACTAAGCTCCCAGGACCTACGCACCCTAAACCCCAAACCCTAACAACCTCCTGAGACCCTTGAGCGTGACCACAGCAAACCCGCTCCCAGAACCCAAAACCCAAAACCCTAAACCCTAAACCCTAAACCCTAAACCCTAAACCCTAAACCTCACTGAAACCCTGAGGGCGTCCCCACGTAGAGGAGGGCCGCCGCGGCCAGCAACCGATAGGCAAGCAGCAAGCCACTGGCGGCTTTCCGCCATCTTGACACCGCGATCAGCCTTCCGGATGTGGGGGTTTAGGGTTTAGGGTTTAGGGTTTAGGGTTTAGGGTTTAGGGTTTAGGGGTTTGGGTTTGGGGTTTAGGGCTGGCTTGGGGTTTGGGGTTTACCTGCTTATTCTTGAATTTGGGGTTTATAGGGTTTAGGGCCTACTTGGGGTTTAGGGTTTACCTACTGATTCTTGGTTGGGAATGAGAGAATTTAATTCGGTACTTTATATTACACCACCCTCGAAAAACCTACCTCTCAAGGGATTCTGTGGGCTTCCTTATTCTCTCATTCCCTACTAAGAACCAGTAACTGTAGGTGCGGAGGTTTATCAACCTTGTTTGAGAGAGGCTGGGGCTTAGGGCAAATTTTCGTATTAGTGTACTACCGGGTTTGACCAACAATATAGTGTAAGGTCGAGAATGCCAGCAACCCCCTATGCCGTTTCTGCCTGGAAGACTTGGAGCTTAGGCTTTCATTGGCGTGTTTAAGGCTTAGGAAACTTTAAGTCTTCCATACAGGGTTTGGAGTGGCTGAAGAGTTTTGAAGGTCTTAGAGATATGTACAGGCTCCGGAGCTGGTTTGTCAGGCTCAAAACCCTAGACCCCAATAAGCTTGACACTCAAGAACAGCAACCTAAGCAATCCTAAGCGCCCTCGATTCTCAGACCCCCGACAGCCCAAGTGCACAAAGAAAGTGCTGAGGTCCTTGGGGATTGCCATTGCACAACCCTAAACCCGAAAACCTAAACCTTTGACCCTTTACCCTTGCAAGCCCTACACCCCTAAACCCTAAACCCTAAACCCTAAACCCTAAACCCTAAACCCTAAACCCTAGGCCCTAAACCCTAAACCCTAAACCCTGGGTAAACTTGCCCAAACTTTCGCCTGTAGTGCGTGACCAGGGTGAACGGGTTCTCCCGACTGTTGATGCGGGTGGTTCCCAGGGGCGTGGCGATGATCCCGCGGTGTAGTGCCAAGCCGTGGTTCACCTCCTTGGGGCGCCAATTCAGGGTTTGTAGGGTTTATGGTTTAGGGTTTAGGGTTTAGGGTTTAGGGTTTAGGGTTTAGGAGTACCATGCTTGGCTTTTGGGTTTTGAGGCCTAAAGCCTTCCAAAAGGGGAGATGCCTTGGCCACCATGAGGTACCAGCAGATCAGGGCCACGAGGCAGAGCCGCTCTCCAGTGAAGAAGGACTCGAAGCCTTCATTTAGGGTTTAGGGTTTAGGGTTTAGGGTTTAAGGTTTTGGGCGGCCGTCAAAATTATGATCCCTTTTGGGGTACCCTAAATACTAGGTGCCGTATTATAATAGGGATCCAAAAAGGGACCATAGTTTTTGACAACCGCCCATATGTTTAAGAAATATTCAACATACCCCTTGGGCCTGCCCCTAGAAAAGAAATTTTAGGGGTATGGTAAAATCCAGGCAGGATGTTTTAACATAGGCGTGTAAGTTTTTTCTCAGGGTTCTTCGACCTACTTGAAGCTACAAGGAACCCTGAGGAGGGTTTAGGGTTTAGGGTTTTAGGGTTTCCTTGATACTTATAACTTGCAACCTACTCACTCGGATACCCGAGCCCATTCAGGAAGGTACATTATCCCGGTTAGGGGTTAAGGGGGCACCATGGCTTCCCCAAAGCCCACCCAAGCCCCCAAAAAACCCAAGTTACCCTAGTTCCCTACCTTAGGGGCTGTATACCCTAGCCCACAAAAAGTCTCACCTGTTATGTGTAACAGGCTTACGCATAACGAAAAAGGTTAAAGCTGCTAAGAAAGACAGGCCTTCGGCTGAAGGCTTCACATACCGGACGATGTTCTCATAGAGGGACATCTGCGCAGCTGCTTGGGGTGGGTGTAGGGAGTAGAGTTTAGGGTTTGGGGTTTGGGGTTTAGGGTTTAGGGCTGTTCATGCGACTGGTTCAGATGCTCGCAAGGTTGGGCACCCTCTGTAATATTGTGGCGCTCACATCTTCAAACCTATGATGAATTGTCGAAACGAGGCCCCTCTCTTAATCCACCCTAAACCCAAAACCCCAAACCCCAAACCCCAAACCCCAAACCCTATGCGCCTGAATTCCAGATGCTGGCAACGACATGTCCAGCGCGCAGACCCTCTCAGCCAGTGACGACTTCGAGAGCGGATCATACCTGGGTGCTTGGGCTACATGCAATATAGGGGTCGTTATAATTTCTAGTAGTGTTCCCTTCTGGTCCCTTTTTTAATTCTCCTACAAAACCCCGCGCAACCCTATTCTAATTCTTAAGCCTTAAGGCCCCCATATTTTGGGTAGAGCTGAGCCGCCACGTGTACACCCCAATCACCACAAAACCCCCGAAGCCCTCCACTCTTAAGCCGAAACATATCAAGAGCCCTCCCTTAGAGTTCCAACTATGAGATCAGAATCCTTGCTGGGCTTCCTGCCCATTTCGAAACTTAGATTTTGGTCTCGCGCAAGGCTTCCCACTGGAGGTGGCTGCGGAGGGCGCCAAGGGTAAAAGCCCAGAACCCTTCAAGCCTTCTACACGCGCCTCGGACCCAGCAGCCCTACTTACGTGAATCATGCAACAACCTTGAGCCCCACTTTTGCCCTAACCCCTGATATAGCGCAAGCCGTCCTCCCCGTTTTCCTTCTACTCTTACGAAGAAGGCCTATTGCTTACAAGAGGGGGCGGGAACGGTGATGGCTCAACTTAGCCCGACCTCCTTAACGTTCATCCCTATGCCCGAAAACTCCCTACTTGGAGGTTCATGGGTAGTTGTAAAAGCAGGTTTGTAAGTTGGTAACTATACTTATTTGCCTATTTCGGGTACTTATAACCCTACCTTCTAACTACCCATGAACCCCCTAAACCCTAAACCCTAAACCCTAAACCCTAAACCCTAAACCCTAAACCCTAAACCCTAAACCCTAAACCCTACACCTCAACCCTAAACCCTTACATTCGCCCTAACCCGCAGCTCAAGGCGCTGGCTCAGCGCATGGCCTGCTGAACGACGCCAGCGGAAGGCATCCCGGATTGTGGTGTCATCCACCTGCAGGGGGGGGGGGGGGGGGGGGGGGGGGGGGGGGGGTAGGGTTTAGGGTTTTGGGTTTAGGGTTTAGGCTTTAGGGTTTAGGGTTTAGGGTTTAGGGTTTAGGGCTTAGGGCTTAGGGCTTAGGGTTTAGGGGTTTAGGGTTTAGTGTTTAGGGCTTAGGGCTTAGGGCTTGTGCTTAGGGCTTTGGGTTTAGGGCAGGGGTCAGGGTTTCGGGTGTAGAGTCTAACTTGGGACTTAGCCTTAGCTTACAATTATTCACAGTATGAAAGAATAAGGCAGATCTGGTCACTCTCAGATCTATTTTGCCAGAGCACTTCTTCAGAGGTGTTTTGGGGGGCCTGCCTTAGAGCAAGCTGTACCGCAAAAGAGGTATCAGGGGCGAGAGAAATTTCTACCCTGGGTACAGGGCTGGGGAACCTGTAGCAATTATGGGGGTGGGATTAAGGGGACCCTTGGGGATATAGACCCTCTGAATAAGGTCCCTGTTGAAGAGAGCCAGAAGAGGGTTAAGAAGGGTTCCCTTCTAAGGGCCCGCCCTATCCTACCTAGGGTTTGGGGTTTAGGGTTTAGGGTTTAGGGTTTAGGGTTTAGGGTTTAGGGTTTGGGGTTTAGGGTTTAGGGTTTAGGGTTTGGGGTTTGGGGTTTGGGGTTTGGGGTTTCGGGTCTGGGGTTTCGGGTCTGGGGTTTCGGGTCTGGGGTTTGGGGTTCAGGGTTCGACGCTTATGGTTGTGGATGTCGGGTGCGGCTCGGCGACTTCGGGTTGGAGGAAGTTGTACCAAGCGATGCCAGTGAAGACCTCGAGACTTGGTACGGGGATGTGTACGTAGCTGGGGGGGCGGGTTTATGAACATAGGGGTACCCTTTTTGGAGGGTTCCTATAATATATAACAAAGATTATACTCGTTGAAGGTGTCCTAAGGGTACCCCTACTTGGGGAAATGCCCAGTTAGGAGTACACGAAGTTGGGAGCTATCCCAATTATGACCTAAGTAGAAACCTTCCCGCCAAGTCCTTGCCCTATCAACAGTACGGCGTACTAGATGATGTAAAAACATAGGGGCCTGAAAAATGTCAACAGGATTTTGGTGGCTTTTACAATACAGGTATATAGGGACCATAAGGGAATACTAGTAGTAGTTGTCCCGACCCCTATATTGCCCCTTTTCTGAGGTACAGGGGTACTCGTTGCTTGCCCAAGGACCCCGAAGCACACCAACATAGACGCGAAGCCAAGGCTACACTGGCAAAACCCTAAACTCATCTGTTGTCCGAGAGCCGGTTTAGGGTTTAGGGTTTAGGGTTTAGGGTTTAGGGTTTAGGGCTTAAAGGTGTCCGAGAGCTCCTGCAACAATGAAACTTGGTCCCCCAGCAACCATCTTTTCTTGGGTTGGTTACTTGACAAGGGAACCGAGAACCAAAAAACCTGTCCAGTACCTAGGGGTTTTAAAGGTTAACCTTTGGGATTATAAGGGGAATATATTAACCCAAAAAGGTTAAAGGTTACCTACTCTACTACTAAGAGGGTACCACGGGGCTACCAAGGAAACAAGATTCTGGGTCCTTACAATATACAACCGCCCTAACCCCTGAGCCCTGACCCCCACACAGATGTCCAACACGCTCGCAAATCGACTCTAACGCAAGGCAGCCTCAAGTGCCTGCCCCAAGCCCTCAACCCTTTTCGAAATTCAGGGGTTAAGGGTTTAGGCTTTAGGGTGTTTATGAGTTGCATGCTCCCAGCCCTCAACCCTTCAGGACTTGCAAGTTTATAAGCCCTCAGACTCTAAATGCTCCAAGCCCTAAACTCTCAAACCTCCCAAGCTCCGACACCCCAATACCAACCCTAAACACAGATAGCCCAAGGGTTTAGGGTCTATGGGTCTCTGAATAGGGGTTTCCGAAAAAACGGGTACCCTGACCCCTCCTGCCCATAAACTCCGCAAATTTGCATAGGGCTCAGGTCTAGGACTTCGGGTTTAGGATTCAGGGCCCAGGGTTCAGAATTTGGGGTTTGGGGTGTACGGGGATTTTAGGCTTAGGGTTTCCAAAACCCTAAACCCTAAACCCTAAGCGCCTAAACCCGAAACCTGAAACCCTGAGCGCCTAAACCCGAACCCCTAAACCCTCAGCCCAGGTGGCAATCTGCATGGCCACGCTGCTCAAGGCCAGTAGAAAGGTTTGAAGGGAGCCCAAGGGCCCGAGGGCACCTGTGGTGGTCCATCAAGACAAAAACACTGGGGGATGCTTAGAGGTTGGGTTTAGGGTTTAGGGTTTAGGGTTTAGGGTTTAGGGTTTAGGGTTTAGGATTTAGGGTTTAGGGTTTAGGATTCAGGGTTCAGGGTTTAGGTTTAGGGTTTAGGGTGTTGGGTGTGGGTTTAGGGTTTAGGGTTTGGGTATCGGGTCCAGAGTTTAGTAGTCAGGGTTTTGGAGATGGGGGTTGCTTTTCAATCAAGGTTACATATGATGGCTCTATATGACACAAATAGTCTTTCGGGGTGCGAAAACGGGAGCCGAACTCGGAGAAACCATATGCTCACCTATGCCCCAGAAGGCGACATAGTGTTCTGCTTTCAAGTCAGGGTTGAATTTAGGGTTTAGGGTTTAGGGTTTTCAGGTCCCCACCTACCAGCTACTTGGGGGTCGGACTGATGCATGAACTTCATGTCCCATCCACTAGACCCAAGAGTAACCGAGGAATGAAAAGGGTTCCGTTTTTGGTTTAAGGGGGCTGATAAGGGAGCCTGAAACCTGGAAAAAGGGAATCAGGGCCTACTCTGGGTCCTAGATTCCTAAGGGTTTAGGGTTTAGGGTTTAGGGTTTAGAGTTTAGGGTTTAGGGTTTAGGGTTTAGGGTTTAGAGTTTAGGGTTTTGAAGTTCAAGGGGGCTCTACGAGTGGCCGCGGGACCGGTTCCGATGAACAGGACCAGGTCCCAAGTAGACTCCCCGAAGCGGTAGTACTCCTGTGTCTGTACCTGGGTACACCGGATGCACCTAAACCCAACACCCTATACACCCTAAGGCCTTGGAACCTAACAGTAGGTCAAAGCAGGGATCAAGGGGTCCCCCTGAGGTCTATGTAGGGGCTGTATAAGGACTAAGATTAAGGCCCCTTCTAGGCGTCCCTCCTTATAATGTCCCCTCAAGGAGCCAAAAGGTCCAGTTTTACTATCATTGAGGGTTTGGGAGTTTGGAGTTTAGGGTTGAGGGTTTTGGAGTTCAGGGTTTTTGGGGTTCGAAACTCAAGCCTCATGCGTTCGGGGCTTACAGATTTCAGCTTCCCAATCGGGGGACAGTAGGGCGATATCCTGGACCCTCAAACCCACTTCCGGAAAAGCTAAACTACTGCGAGCCGGAACCCTGAACCCTAAACCCTAAATGCACAGGGAGGCCCGGTCGGTCTGCACATAGAATGATCGCAAAAGACTTCACAGCAAACCCCAACCTCCCCAAAACCTTAAACCCTAAACCCCCTGAGCTCACAGCCCCAACCCCTAAGTCCTAAACCCTAAACCCTAAACTCTAAACCCTAAACCCTACCAAAAAAGCTTGGGGCCCTGGGGCATCGAGGATTTTCTCATCGACGCAGTCCACCACCGGCATGGAGATTCGGCGACTGACGCGGAGGTTCTCGGAAGGCTTCGACAGCTGCATGTCGGACCTAGGGTTCAGCAGCTCCGGATCGAGCAGTGTTATGGTAAAGTTATATTTACGGCTCTGATATAGCACCCACCCACCCAAAGACTCCCATAACATTCCGAAAACAAAAAGTATTCTCCAATCATCTCAGTGTCAAAGGCCTATGCCTGAAAACACCTCATTTTGTTAACCTCATTTCTTGCCATTATTGCATCTCTTCCGCGCTACATTAGACTTGAAATGAACGGACACAAAAAAGGCTAATTTTGTTAACCTCACTGCCTTGAATTTGGTTGAGCAGGTCCTAAACTCCAGGCCTTGAGGCCCTGAAACCCTAAAGCCCAGGCCTGTAAACCCTGAAGCCCTAAACCCCAAGACTTATGGCCCCCAGGTCTTTAGGCCCTGAAAGCCTAAACGCCAGGCCCTGAAACCCTATTTCTCAGGCTTTGAGGCCCTGAAACCCTAAACGCCCGGCCCTGAAGCCCTAAACGCCAGACCTTGAGGCCCTGAAACTTTAAACTCCAGACCTTGAGGCCCTGAAACTCTAAACTCCAGGCCTTGGGGCCCTGAAACCCTAGACCCCAGGCCTTGAGGCCAGGCCTCGAAGCTCTGGAACCCTAAACCCTAAACCCTAAACCTCAAAACCCTAAGCCCTAAGCCCTAAGCCCTAATCCCTAATCCCTAAACCCTAACCCTAAACCCTAAACTCCAGACCTTGAAGCCCTGGAACCCTCAACTCCAGGCTTGAAACCCAGGCACGAAAAACTGGCCATGAACCACGAACAACTGGCCATGAACCACGAAAGAACTGGCCATGAACCACGAGTTTTCGGCCATGAACCACGAAAAACTGGCCATGAACCACGAATTTCTGGCCATGAGCCACTAGTTTTGGGCCATGAGCCACGAGTTTTGGGCCATGAACCACGAATTCATTAAGGTTTAAATTTTCATATGATGGTTTAGGGTTTAGGGTTTAGGGTGACTCAAGAGTAACCTAGGAATGAAAAGGGTGCCCTTTTGGTTTAAAGGGGCTGATAGGGGAGCCTCAACCCTAAGCAATAATAAGGCCCTACTCTGGGACCTCGGATTCAGGGTCTAGCATTTACGGGCTTGGGGTTTAGGAGTAGGGTCTAGCGCACAGTGGCAGGGTTTCGGGCTTAGTAGAGTCCTAGTAGGGTTTGGGTTGTCGCTGATCCGTGCCTTACTTACATGAAGCTTTCTGTTTCACTTGGAGGTTCATGAGTGCTTATAACCCCAACTATGAGTTTACTCATAACCTGCTTAGAGGACTTAGTACTTAGGGGGCCTGTAAGTACAGTCATCGTTGCGGCCTGACCCTCAAGGCAAGAATCCCATCCCGTCCCCGCTGACACCGGCGACTGCGGCCATGAGGCGTAACTTGCAACTTGGACGACGAGTCCGCTGTCGAAGAGTCCCCCGCTGACACATCATTCATCTCTGGCACCCAGTCGGCCTGGGGGGTTTGGGGTTTAGGGGTTGGGGTTTGGGGTTTGGGGTTTGGGGTTTGGGGTTTGGGGTTTGGGGTTTGGGGTTTGGGGTTTGGAGTTTGGGGTTTGGGGTTTGGGGTTTGGGGTTTACGGTCCAAGGTTGAGCGTTAAAGGCTTGGGGAACTTAGCTCTTAGGTTACCATACGTAGGGTTATATGTGCCCTAAGTTGGCTTTGCTTACTTAGATAGACCCTGATGTCTAGCCTACTTCCCCTAAACCCTAAACCCTAAACCCTAAACCCTAAACCCTAAACCCTAAACCCTAAACCCCAAACCCTAAACCCTCAACCTCAAGCTCCCTGAGCCGTTAAGCTTTCAGGCTGAGGGCTTCGGGTTCAGGGTTTTTTGGGCAGGGCTTGGGGCTGAGGCTTTTCAGGTCTGTAAAACTTAGGGTTTAGGGTTTAGGGCTTAGGGTACATGGGGGTTCAGGGTTAAGGGCTTGGCATGCGTGATCCATCGACACCCGTCGATGGCAGCATGGGACCCTCAAAAGCCTAGCAAGTATACTACACACTTAGCGCGTATGGATATTTGCCAACTTAAGGTACTCGGAACCTACCTACTCATGCGTGATCCTTGAAGCAGCCAGTTGCAAGTCAGGTTTCGTGATGATGCTAGCCGAACTCAAGCTACCTCGCGTCTACTAAATGGGCTCCCTCGTCTTCACGTGTGGCTCCTCTCCGAACTACGAACTAAGGCACAAAGGAATTTGAGGATAAACGCTCCGGAGTCGAAAAACTCAACTCTAAACCCCCCCCCCCCCCCCCCAAGCACGAAACCACTATTCTAAACACGTGCGCCCAACTCCAATCCTCTAAGCCCAAAAATCTCTGAACCTCTAAGCCCCAGATCATGAGCCCGCTGAAACCAACCCTCAACCTGAACCCACAAAGTCATGAAACCCACTAGGGTTTGGGGTACAGCGTTGCCTTCGTCAGCCTTTGGCCCCCCTAGGGCTTAGGGTTTAGGTTTAGGGTATATAGACTGCCTGATAAACCAAAACCCTGGTTTAGCGCCAGGTTCAGAGAATGTTCTCGAGTGATCCATGAAAAAGCGAACGTCTGCTGCATCCAGCTCCTTCCAGGGGGGGGTGTTTCGTGTGACTTGACTTACAGGTTCCAAGGGTTTAGGGATTGACAATTTAGGGTTTCAGATGTTGCGAGGGGAGGGCGGAAGGAGCTATTGTGGTTCGTGACTGCAAGAGAATGCAGCCTACTGTCGGAGCACTTAACTCGACACCGCACACCCCAGCTTGGCCTTTGTGGCTTCTTGCACATCTGGGTTGATGCTGACGACGAGCTTTGCCTCGATGTCCATCAAGATACTCTCTAGTGCCTGCCACAAGAATCAGCTCTAAGGGTTTAGGGTAGGGTTTGCGGATTGTCGATACTCAGCTGGGTACCAGTAGCATGTTGGTAGTCGTTGATGAGTCTTGTCCCTTCAATGAGGCAACAACATGTCGGCGGACACCGAGCCGGGGTTGCTACTTAGAGGGGCTAGGACTTGGGGATTGCTCTCACACCCAGTGGTCGATCGTTCGAACTTAACTTTGAAAAGCCTTACAGATAAAGCGCTAGATCACCATGTTGATGCCGCAGTGCACACCTTCCACCCCTTCAACTCTGTACGCCACGCGCCGTCGCAAAGCTGCTCTTAAAACTTCCAGCCCTCGGCCCTACCAATACACACGCCAAAGGCTCAACACCCCTAAACCCCTAAACCCCTAAACCCCTAAACCCACAAACCCTAAACCCCTAAACCCCCTAAACCCCCTAAAAGCCAACAAACCCTAAAAAACCTTAAAAACCCCTAAACCCCTAAAAACCCCTAAACCCCCTAAAAAACCCTAAAACCCCCTAAACCCCTAAACCCCTAAACCCACAAACCCTAAACCCCCTAAACCCCCTAAAATCCCACAAACCCTAAGCCCAAAAAACCCACAAACCCTTAAACCCACAAAACCCCTAAAAAAACCCTAAAAAACCCCTAAAAAAAACCTTAAAAACCCCTAAACCCCTAAACCCCCTAAACCCTAAAAGCCCACAAACCCTAAAAACCCCTAGACCCTAAAAACCCCTAAACCCGAAGAACCCCTAAACCCCTAAAAACCCACAAACCCTAAGCCCCAAAATCCTCCTAAACCCCTAAACCCCTAAACCCCCTAAACCCCCAAAAACCCACAAACCCTAAAAACCCCTAAACCCTCTGAACCCCTAACCCCCTAAAAAAACCCCTAAAAACCCCTAAAAACCCCTAAAAACCCACAACCCCCCCACCCACCTTGACACGCACATCGAGACCCTCCACGGCTGACAGCCGGGCCTGACGAGCATGGGGGGGGGGGGGGGATGATGTAAGGTTCATATTTCTATATATATATACATATATATATATATGGCTTATAAATAAAATAAACAAAAAAGTATAAATATAAAGATATATATATATATACACATATTCATTTATTTGTTTATTTATGTGTTTTTTATATGTAGATGTATATCAGGTTTGCTTAAGGGCTCATGGGCTTCGCAGAAGCTGCGAAGGTTTGTTCTGGCACAACTAATAATAACCAATGCTTCAAAATGTGGGAAGGAAAAAATCCTTCCCACATTCTGAAACAGTGAAGAGCCAACCGTCACAACCGACACTGACAACCCTAAACCCTAAACCCTAAACCCTGGGGCTTACTAATTGCTAAGATCGTGTGAACGGCATGGGGCCTCACCCTTACCTCCTGCGGTCTGAAATGGCTGACGCAAGAACGGGCTTTTGGACCCTAAACCCCCATAAACCCTAAACCCTAAACCCGAAACTGTCTGACTCTGCGAGAATCAAACACGGAGCCGCTTTCCTGGTGTCTGGAGCATAGGCCGCTCGCCAATCGCTGCGAAACGCAGAACAACACCCACCGTAAAACCTAAACCATCTAGGCTCTCATATGGAGGCCCCCTTAAGAACCCCCGGAGCCCCCCTAAACCCTAAACCCTAAACCCTAAACCCTAAACCCTAAACCCTAAACCCTAAACCCTAAACCCTAAACCGGTGGTTTCTGAGATCTGCCGGAAACACCCTTGTAGCCCCAGAGGCCCCCCCTTGCCTCCAACGGACCATTTAAGGTCGCCTCAAGCCAGAAGAATTAAGCTCCGAAATTTCAGCCTCAAAGAGGAGGTAATGCTAAATGCATATCACTAAGTCGAGTCTAGGAATTTAACCCTAAGAAGAAATAGGTCAGAGTGGTGCCTTGGACCGTAGAGGTTGGGAGATGGTGCGATGGCCTTCCGGGTATGATGGCTTAAGTTGAGGGGTTGCAGTGAAATGGCAGAAAACGCCGTGAAAGATCGAATAGAGAGTAACCCTAAACCCTTAGCCCTTAACCCTAAACCCTGAACCCTAAACCCTGAACCCTAAACCCTAACCCTCCCTAAGCACCGTGAGCCCAGATGATCTATCCTACTTGTCTAGTTGTGTTTTAAAGAAGAGCTCAAGAGCCAATCTTCAAGTCGCGCGGTTCGATCACCACACCCGAAAACCTAAACCGTCCAAGGCCTCAACTGTATCCTGGACCCCACAAGCTAAACGCGGAACCCTGAGCTCCAGAAACTAAACCCTAAACCCTAAACCCCCAACCCCTCCAGTATTCTCACCTCAAGCTGATTGCTTCAGGAGTGTCCGCATGACAGTTCGCATAAACCCCCAACCCCTAAACCCCTAAACCCTAAAACCTGAACCCCAAACCCCTCGGGTTTAGGGTTTAGGGTTTAGGGTTTAGGGTTTAGGGTGTAAAGTTTAGGGTTTAGGGTTTAGGGTGTAGGGTTTAGGGTTTATCAGCTTGGATCTGCCACCTCAACGTGGTCGAAGTGCTCGTGGATCTCCTGTCGGCACAATTGAACCATTTAGGGCTGGGATGTTCCCCCTCCTGCTAACAGTCCTCAATAGGATAATAGGAATTATAATCGGGATTATGGTATCCCCGATTAGAATTCCTATTAAGGACTGTTAGTATAACGGGGAACATCCCAACATTTAGGGCTTTTGAGGGCTTAGCAGCTAGGGCAATGTCAATGGTAGCCCCCGTAACCACATTATCACCCCTCACCCTAAACCCTTTCTGGTTTGGCTACTTTATCATGGAACCTTGACCAAAAAAGGCAAGCAAAAGCATATTCCACTGTACCAAGAGATGGGGCTGTAAGGAGTTATAGGGCTCCATAAAGGCTCGAGAGTATCTCCGAGCTTTTGTTAGGACCCCAATGTGCTGGGTTGAGCTTGAAACCTTAAGCCCTGCACGCAAAACGGCTTCATCTGCCCGTTCGCCCAAAAACCAAAACCCTAAACCCTAAACCCCTGAACCCTAAAAACCCTAAACCCGACCCCAAGCCACACTTGTTGTTGGGGTTCCATAGTGCATATATGCTCTCAAGGATTGAGTACTGAGGTTTAGGCTGCGGACGGTAGTAGGGTTCAAATAGGGCCCTTTTGGGGTGTTCTGGGTACTGTGTATTGCAATATTCTATGCCGTACATGGGCACAATAGTGGTAGTTGGTTGGACTTCTAGATTGGAGTATTGAAGTGTTGGCTGTGTCTTGTCATCATGATATCCACACTGGCAGCCAGGTTGCGGCATGGTATTGAAAACTTGTCGTTTGACGCCACCTCCCCCTACACTCAAAGGGGAACCCTTGTAAAGAAGGTAAGGGACCGTACTTGGAGGCTGATGGGTAGTTGCAAGTAGGGTTCCAAGTATGGTAGCTAATCCCTTCTCCCGAATATTAAACGGGGGGCCTCCCCCCCCAATAAAAATTCGAAATGTGTTCTTATTGTTTGGGGGCATGTTTATCGAAATGGGGTTACTCAAGTAATCAACTTAAGTGTGGTGTAAACTGAAAGGGCCTAGGGTTTCGGGTTTAGGGTTTAGGGTTTAGGGCAGCAAGACAGCCAGGCAGGAAAGATCTGGCATATCATATGACCAGTGAGGTAGGCTGAGGAGAGCCAGGCTCACAGGCAGCCAGACAGGCAGCTCACCGACAGGACTGGACTCTACACCCTAAACCCTTCACTCTAAGCCCTAAACCCTTAACCCTAGACCCCCAACCCTAGTTAAACCCTCTGAGGGTTTTATTGGTGTTGAGGGGTTTATTGGAGGCCTGAACCACCCCCTAGTTCTAAAAGGCGGGGTCGGTTTCGGCAGGATTTTCCGGAAAGCGTTTTTATTTTTAGGGGGGTATGTAATAAAAGGGGGAAGGGATTAGATTCGCAACCCGATTTAGGGTACTTAGAACCCTACTTATAGCTATAAATGAACCTCCAAGTACTAAGGGACCATGTAACTACCCCGTAGATACAAGCTAGACCCAGAGTAAGCTGGGAATAAAACGGGTACCCTTTTTTGGTTTTAAGGGGAATATAAGGGAACCACAACCCCCCCCCCCCCCCTCCCCCCCCCAAAAAAAGAAAGGGCCCCCCCCCCCCCCCCCCCCAAAGAACAAAAAAAAACAAAGGCCTACTCCGGGTCCTAGCAAGTCACTGTTTCACGGGTTGGTCTATTGGGGGTGGGGGGGGGGGGCGGGAAGGTCTCCTTCAGGACTTGCAGGTCGTGATCCATTTGGGAGCGGCAGGTGGCAGGATGCACTACGCCCCTGCCACAAAGCGCCCCTGTGATGCGCGGTCACGCGTAAGACGGCAGCGTCACACCGGCTAGATTGTTGCAACCCTAAACCCTAAACCCTAAACCCTAAACCCTAAACCCTAAACCCTAAACCCTAAATTACGTGACATGCGACTCCGTGTCGTTGAGGAGAGATCTGCATCTCAACTGTCTGCATTGCGAAGCTGAAGTCTGTTCGTTTTCACTGTGCAGCTTTGACTCGATGCTCTAAACCCTAAACCCTAAACCCTAGCCCCTAAACCCTAATCCCTAAACCATATCCTTGCGGACCCTGCGCGCTACCATGTCCCAATAGGCGCCGGCTGGAACTAAGCAGGAGCCGATCGGCAGCGAGCTGTCCGGCATTGAATGAAGCTGAAACCAGCGGCTGTCTTATATACTTACATATAGCATGCATACATTCTTATACATGTATATATATATATTATACATATTTGAAAAGTTTTCTGTATACGACAATATTCGTGAAGCACTTCGTTCGACAACAGAGACCCGGCGTCTCCAGCTGCTCAGTCAATGTGGACCTGAAAGAGCAGCCCCGCGCCCCAAAAACGGGCTCAGAAGATAGACCCAACATTTCCGGCAATGCCCCTTTTCCAAAGATGGAAGATGCCGAAAACTGAACTGACGCCTGGTTTTAGGGAATGC